CCTGGGTTACACTCGACGCACTTTCGACGCACTAAACAAGGTAGGGCAGCTGTTAAAAATCGAAAAAAACCTGTGCTGTTTGAAACTCTGCTTTTAAAATTCGTTATGCACATGAATATTAATTATTCTTGCCGAACATGTTAGTTTAACCAAACATATTTATTAGAATACAGCATATGCATAAATTCAATTTGCATAACGATAATTTATTTTTATAAGTTACAGATCACGAAGCTTTTTACCGTAAGATCGATTTCAATAATTAAATTCATGTAATTAAAAAACTCGTGCTCGACTAGTTCAGGTTTCGAACAGAACTGAACTGAGTTCAGATAAGCAGGATCACATCCTGATCTAAATGCAGTTTAACATATTTTACCGTTACTATTAAACCCTAGAATTAAAACCTATACTATAATGAATAAATTTCTTGCTTTTATTCTTTTTATCGCTAGTTCTATTTAGAGGCCAGAACCATTTATTATAATTTAACTTTAAACCCAGTTTTAGTATTAAATAGGTTTATAAACCCGATTTTTGAAATCAAAATTCAGCTTTATTTTGTATATCGTGAAAAGAATGCTGGGAGGAGTAATATAAATCGATGAAAAATTTTCAATCGATTAGTCAACTTTACAACTAATCAATTTAATTCGATTTTCGATTTGTATCACTAGCCGGGAGGTAATGTAAAGATTTTTATTTAGTTAATCCGAATTATTGCAGACTAACAAAAATATATATTATATACAACACAATTGGATTCAACGGATTTTCAATTTCATATAAATCCAATTGGAACTTTGAATTTACAACTGGTTCAAAACTTTATTTCTATTTCGATCACAATCTTCAGAGTTATTTGAATCGCAACTCTCAATATATTTTGAATTCCATTTGAGTGTCGTCCTTTCATCTTTAACTACACTTATACCATCTTGATAGCACAATCCAGATCACTTTGTCTATTCAAGCCATCACCTTCTAAGTTTTTCTAATATCACTCGAATACTTTGTATTCATTCTTTTTAATTCTATTCCATTTCAATGCAACCAACAAGACTACTTATTCAACTTATATAATAAGTTTTGATAAGTTTCTCAATCTTAATTCCACCTTCATAATTAATGTCCAAGATTATATGATTTATTAACATAACTATTTCTGCAGATTTTTGATGAACAAATCCCAGGTGTTCTTTTCTTCACCGTCGTTGAAATACACAACTATGGAGCATTTTTCGTTTTGGCGCGTAGATGAAGTTTCCTTGAAGCCCATATTCGCTTCCAATATCCTTCGACCATCAATAGAAGGCGCATGATGTTGGAAGGAAGTCTTTACAGCTTTGTGGCCGATACGTTTAAGTTCACACCATTCTTTCATGTCTAAGCTCAAAGGTTCTAACGGAATGTTAAAAAATAATTCCTGTCCTATGTATATTGTTGTGTGTATTTCTAATCCTGCCTCACGTATAGGAAACAATTCTGAAACATGATCAGAAATTTGTTTAAGACAATACGGTAGCAAAGAAGTAACTGTAAATGGTCGTTGTTTCGAAGGAACCGGAAGCAATGCAGTGATATCATTATCATCGCATGTATCTCGATTGACGGTACTGAAACTTTTACTAGAATTACTGCTACTACAACTTCTGTTTGCCGAAAAAGAACCATATTCATCTAACCAGAGCCTGTGATCTCCCATATCAGTAGAGGGACTAGGCATAAATTCTTCAGGACTTTTCGTTACTTGATTGGGCGATTCGACTTCTGGAGTAAGAATACCCCAATCTCTCATTAAATCAGTAGATTCGTTTGATAGGTAAATATAGTATAATTTCTTTCCATGCGAATGCGCATTATTGTCGCGCTCCATATATTGAATAAAACGGATTCTTGACTCTTTAGACGGTGACGGCAAATCCACAATAGTATAACCAACGTCAGGGTAAACACTGGGCCTTGGCTTTGCGGATTCTTCTTCTAAATAATGCTTCATTCGTGATTTAGCAGTTTCACATTGCCCATACGTGCCGGTAATAACTGCTTCCCTACCATCTCTGTCAATTTTTATTCGCGCACCAGTAGCTTCCCTACAATAGGAAACCAAATTCGGTATCGATTAAGTGTTACGGTAAATTGATACGATAAGTGTGTCAAAAAAAAAGGGTGAGGACGAAAACTTAGTTTTAGTCAGCCAAAAGAAAAATTAACTTTTATAAGTATACTGTACTCAATATTTCGAATGTTACTGGCTCGCTGACCTAGAACCAACTCACTCATATCTTCGTGAATTAAAAATACGTAGCGAGTTCTACTTGAAGCCAACATACTTTTTTTTTTGTTTTTTTTATATAACTTATTTCTGTATTTTCAAGTCGAACACCGTGAAATATATTATCTGTTAAAAAAATATGATATCATGAGAAAGAGTTATTGTGTTACGGAAAATTTCTTTATAGTTACAATGCGTTTGTAAACTCGAAATGGTTACGATTGCCGGGTTACATATGATTGGCTAATTTACATCGAGATTTATTTGTTTATTACTACATGTATGGACTCAACTCAGGGTAGTGATGGTACCCGATCGAAAAAATGCTACCCGGTTATCTGACGGGTATATCTAGCGGGTTACCCGGATGATCAAC